TCGCTTAGCATAATGCTCTCCAGTTCCATCCATGCTGTTGCAAATGGTAAGAACTTCTTTTGTACCGTAGCATAGTATTCCATTGTGTAGATGTACCACAGTTTTTTATTTTTATTTATTTTTTAAAATTTTGTTTTATTGCTTAAAATAGTACAAAGAGTAGTACATGTCTCCTATTTTTTTCTCCCCTTGACCTTCCCCTGGCCTCCCCTACCCCTCAGTGTCTTGTGTCCTTTGGTTATGCTTATATGCATGCATACAAGTCCTTCGGTTGATCTCTTACCGCCCCCCGCTCCCCCGCCCAACCCTCCCTGGCCTTCCCGCTGTAGTTTGACAGTCTGTTTGATGTTACTCTGCCTCTGTATCTATTTTTGTTCATCAGTTTATAATGGTCTTAATTATCCATAAATGAGTGAGATCATGTGATATTTTTCTTTCATTGACTGGCTTATTTCACTTAGCATAATGCTTCCAGTTCCATCCATGCTGTTGCAAATGGTAAGAATTCCTTCTTTGTTACAGCAGCATAGTATTCCATTGTGTAGATGTACCAGTTTTCTAATCCAATCATCTGCTGATGGGCACTTAGGCTGTTTCCAAATCTTGGCTATGGTGAATTGTGCTGCTATGGACATATGGGTGCATATATCCTTTCTGATTGGTGTTTCTGTTTTCTTGGGATATATTCCTAGAAGTGGGATCACAGGGTCAAATTGGAGTTCCATTTTTAGTTTTTTGAGGAAACTCTATACTGTCTTCCATAGTGGCTGCACCAGTCTGCATTCCCACCAGCAGTGCATGAGGGTTCCTTTTTCGCCGCATCCTCTCTAGCACTTGTCATTTGTTGATTTGTTGATGATAGCCATTCTGACAGGTGTGAGATGGTACCTCATTGTTGTTTTGATTTGCATCTCTCAGATGATTAGTGACTTTGAGCATGTTTTCATATGTCTCTTGGCTTTCTGAATGCCCTCTTTTGAAAAGTATCTATTTAGGTCTTTTCCCCATTTTTTGATTGGATCATTTATCTTCCTTTTGTTGAGTTGTATGAGTTCCCTATAAATGTTGGAGATTAAACCCTTATCAGTGATAACATTGGCAAATATGTTCTCCCATGCAGTGCGCTTTCTTGTTGTTTTGTTGATGGTTTCTTTTGCTGTGCAGAAGCTTTTTATTTTGATGTAGTTCCATTTGTTTATTTTCTCTTTAGTTTCCAATGCCCTAGGAGCTGTATCAGTGAAGAAATTGCTTCAGCATATATCTGAGATTTTGCTGCCTGTGGATTCCTCTAGTATTTTTATGGTTTCTCATCTTATGTTTAAGTCCTTTATCCATTTTGAGTTTATTTTTGTGTAGGGTTTAAGTTGGTGGTCTAGTTTCATTTTTTTGCATATGTCTGTCCAATTTTCCCAACACCATTTATTGAAGAGAATGTCTTGACTCCATTGTATGTTCTTGCCTCCTTTGTCAAATATTAATTGAGCATAGTGGTTTGGGTCTACTTTTGGGCTCTCGATTCTATTCCATTGATCTACATGTCTGTTCTTGTGCCAGTACCAGGCAGTTCTGAGAACAGTGGCTTTGTCATACAGCTTGATATCTGGTATTGAGATCCCTCCTACTTTGTTCTTCTTTCTCAGGATCGCTGCAACTCTTTGGGGTCTTTTTTTATTCCAGATGAATTCTTGGAAAGTTTGTTCTAGGACTATGAAATATGCTGTTGGTATTTTAGTGGGGAGTGCATTGAATCTATAGATTGCTTTGGGTAATATGGACATTTTAATGATGTTGATTCTACCAATCCATGAACATGGTATGTTCTTCCATCTGTTTATGTTTTCCTCTATCTCTTTTTTCAGTGTCCTATAATTTTCCACGTATAGGTCTTTTACCTCCTTAGTTAAGATACCTAGTTATTCCTAGGTATCTTAATTTTTTTGGTGCGATGATAAATGGAATTGCTTTTTTAGTCTCTCTTTCTATAAGTTCAATATTGGTGTATAGAAATGTCGTAGATTTCTTCGTTTTAATTTTGTATCCTGTTACATTGCCGAATTCATTTATTAAGTCTAATAATTTTTTTATGGAATCTTTAAGGTTTTCTCTGTCAAAATACTCAACAAAATTCTAGCAAATCAGATCCAGTAGTACATCAGAAACATCATACACCATGACCAAGTAGGATTTATCCTGGGGATGCAAGGATGGTACCATATCTGCAAATCAATAAATGTGATACATCACATAAACAAATTCAGATATAAAAATAACATAGACATATCAATTGATGCAGAAAAAGCATTTGACAAAATCCAACACCCTTTCTTGATAAAAACTCTCAGCAAGGTGGGAATAGAAGGATCATACCTCAACGTAATAAAAGCCATATATGACAAACCCACAGCCAACATCATACTCAATGGACAAAAACTAAAACCATTTCCCCTAAGAACAGGAACAAGACAGGAATGCCCACTCTCACCACTCCTGTTCGACATAGTACTGGAAGTACTAGCCATTGCGATCAGACAAGAAGAAGAAATAAAAGGCATCCAAATTGGAAAAGAAGTAAAACTGTCCTAATTTGCAGATGACATGATACTGTACATACATTTTTATCTTACTTATTTTAAAAAATGCTTTTAGAAAAATAAGTTGAAATCTGCTTTTCATCTCTGATCCTGTCTTGGTTATTTGTGTCTTCTGTCTTTATTTCCTGAATAATTCCAGCTAAGGTAGAAAAAGGTGATGTTCTGTCTCATTGTTTCAGCTCTTTTACTGTAAACAAACATACTTTTACAGTCTATTTGGTGTCATTTTTTTTTTGCATTTGTGTGTATTTTGTTGATGATTTCCCTGTTTAAAATGCAGTATTGATTTTGTTGGTTATTTCTACTGTTTCTTGTTCTTGGAGTCCTTGTGTGTTTGGACATTTTTTTACAGTGTTTTGCTCATTGTATTTAAATTTTTATGGTAAGAATAATTTGAGATCAAGGGTAAAGGTATTTTCCTTAAAAAATGATATGTATTTGTTTATGTCAGGATTTTGGGGGCACCAACAATATGGCACTGCCTTTAGTCTAGTTCAAACCTTGAGGCTCTTTGAATGACCCATGTAATCATACTTGCACTGCAATCCCATGTAAGAACTGTCCCAATTCTGGTTCACCGTTTCCCTGAAGGGGTAACACTTTAGGGTTCCTGACAAACAGGGAGGGTATCCTGTTTGTGAGAGTTCCAGACTTTGATTTCTATCCTGCTGCTACTTATCCTGTGACTTTTCAAAGAGGGAATTCAACATTTTGAGGATTTTAAAAAACCCTCAGTGAAAAAGTTATTTTTGTTCTTCTTCATCTCTCTGGTGAATATTTTCTGTTTAATTTTGGCTTAATAATTCCATATTTTCCTGTCAGGTGTTTTATGCTTTTAAGGTGGTGATTTTTACCTTTTATCCTGTTATTCCAGTTGTTTTCAGTAGGAGTGTTGTCCAAATAATCTATCCCTCAATTACAAAATTAGGAAGCTAGCATTTAATTCAGTCCCATTTTATTTTCCATCTCTTCTGGTTAAGGTGGAGGCTTTTCCTGTGTGTTCTTTTAGGCTCAATTCCCCATCTCCTGTATGTTATTACTCAAACAGGGGAAGACATATTTCCACAAGAAGAAGCAGTAGTTATAAGGCAAAGGATAGTCCCCCCCCCCCAAGGGTAAAAAAAGATTCTGCAGAAACATAAGGTGAACTTTAGTTCAACTACAGCCAATGATTTTTGCAATGATTTATATTCCAAACAGAAGTCAGTTCATCAGTCTAAAAACGTCTTCATGTTCCTTCATAGTTTCCTTCAAGAACAAAGAATCATGACTTGTTTTGCATGTATGGAAATGAAGAGCCCATTCAAGGGTTCTCCCCAACCTTTCTCCCTAAAGGAATAGCTTGAACTAAAGATGAATTCACATTTCCACTTCCCAAGCTCTCTGCTTCTATATTTTAAATAATAGCTTTCTCAACTTTTATCCACCAATATTTTCAAAAAGTTCCCAGGCCTCACAATTTATCTTAGGTACCTTGTTAACTTTCCATCATAAATACAGAATCCAACTTATCCTTCCTCCATCTTTCCCCTTCCCAACCTTGGATAGTTTAAATGGAATAAGAGTTGATGGACCATAATGCTGCCTTTCATAAAAGCTGCCTCCTGCTAAATAGGTCTTGCCAACACATTTGCTTGTAAAAACAGGCACCTCTATGGCAATATTTTATTCCAATGATGCTTTTTCCATTCTACCAGTATGTGCCAGAAATGCAATCATTTTGGTTGATGGCTCTTAGTACAATGGAGTCAAGTGTTCAGCTTCACATTTTTTTGTTTGTTTGTTTTGACTGACTAAGAACCCCAAACTGAGGTGTTTTAACACATCAAAGAGACACAAAATCTCTTATAAATAAGGAAGAGAGTAATATTTGAAGGGACTCTCTATCGGTTTTTAAATTTGAAAATCAGTGCTCACTGTCCAGCAAGTTTTTATTTATTATCTAATAGAAGTATGGGGTGTTTCAAGCATGCATCTTAAAATACTGAATTTCAGAACAATTTGAACACAAAGAATTTTGTATATTGGATGTAGGATGGGGAATGGAGTGAGAGTGTCTGTGTATAATGGAAATTACACTAGAAAGAATGATGATGGGAGGGAGGGAGACAGCTACTGCTTAGGCAGAGAAGAATGGATAATTTTGGTAAAGCTGGCCACCTGCTTCCTCCTATTCCCTCAAGTTTGCAGGGACAAGTAGATGAGGATATACTAGGTTACAATATAATCCTATATAATAAAAGGCTAATATGCAAATCGACCGATGGGCTGAATGACCTGTCGCTATGACGCTCACTGACCACCAGGGAGCAGATGCTCAACGCAGAAGCTGTCCCCTGGTGGTCAGTGTGCTCCCACAGGGGGAGCACTACTCAGCCAGAAGCTGGGCTCATGGCTGGTGAGCACAGCAGCAGTAGCGAGAGGGTGCAGGCCAGGCTGGGGGACCCCCCCTTCCCCCCCGAGTGCACAAATTTCATGCACCGGGCCCCTAGTAATGAATAATTTACAATGTCAGTGCCTTAATGCCACAGAGATTTATTTGTCCCTTTTAGCCAATGTAGTTCTAAGGGACTTTCTAGCATTATTGTACCTCCATGTGATAACTATACCATCCAGGCTAATGGGTTTTTTGCCACTTAATTGCACATCTTAAACATATGGTTGTTTCAAACCTGATTGATGTAACATGAGAAGAAAGAAAGTGTGAAGGTCTTGCACAAGCAATTAAATACTCCATTCTAGTGAGATACATGGCACTTCAGCCCACAACCCACTGGCCAAACTTGCCACATGGCCCTGACTGACTTCATGATGGATAGAGAAGTGTAATTTCCTATGTGCTTGTAAGGAGAGGAGAACCAGACATTAATGAGCATTAGAAATCTCTACCACAGAGGTGCAGCCTGAGGTTCTTTCCTTGACTTGCAACTTATTGTGTCATAAAAAAGTAACTGAAGCCCTTGGCCAATGTGGCTAAGTTAGTTGGGTGTCATCCTGTGCACCAAAGGATTGCATTTTTATCCCCAGTAGGGAGTGTGCAGGAGGCAGCCAATCTATGTTTCCTTCTCTCTCCCTCTCCCTTCCTCTCTCTCTAAATATCAATAAAGTATTTTTTAAAAAATAAGAGAAAATATATGCTTCTTAGCCAGAGACTACAAGCTGTGGAAGGAGCCATTTTTCTTTAGAAAAAAACTCCCACTCCTCAAAGAAGGACATGTAGAATAACACGTCATCCTTTTGGGTTTTCACAGGCCATCACCACAACGTGTTGAAATGAAAAACAGTTTGTCAGTTAATTTCATGTGTCAACTTGGTTAGACTATGGTAACTAGTTGTTTGGTCAAACATGAATTCTAGATGTTGCTATGAAGATCATTTTCAGATGTGATGAATATTTACAATCAGTTAACTTTAAGTAAAGCAGATTACCCTTCATGATGTGAGTGGGCCTCATCCAAACAGTTGAAGACCTTCAGAGCAAAGACTGAGGTTTCTGAAGGTGAAGTAAAATCTGCCTCAAGACTGTAAGATTGACATTCTGCCTGAGTTTCCAGCCTGCTATCCTGCCCTACAGATTTCAGGCTCAAGACTACAACATCGGCCTTGGCCAGGTAACTCAGTTGGTTAGAGTGTCATCCCAATACACCTAGGTAGCAGGTTTAATCCTGGTCAGGGCATATACAATAATTAACCAATGAATGTATAAATAAGTAGAACAACAAATCAATGTTACTCTCTCCCTTTCTCTCTTTCTCTAAAAAACAAAAAAAAAAAAACAAAAACAAAAAACAAAAAAAAAACAAAAAAACCAAAAACACCAAAAAAAACAAAACAAAAAAAAAACCAATTAAAAATATATTTAAAAAAGGACTGTAACATTGCTTCTTCTCTAAATTTCTAATCTGTCACCCGGCCCTACAAATTTTAACTTTGTCAACCCCACAATTATGTAAACCAAGTCCTTAAAATAAGTCTCTCTCTCTCTCTCTCTTTCTCTCTCTCTCTCTCTCTCTCCCCATACACACACATACCTTATTGGTTCTGTTTCTCTGGGAACCCTAGTACAAACAGTATCTATTACATTTTCATTTCCAGAAGGTACCAATAAAATTCTGTAACTAATAACTATGCTTTGGGGTATTAAACAAATTGGTGAATCATTCTCAGTAAAACATCCTCTTAAAGTTCTCTGAGACAACAACAGCAATAATGAGGGGAAGAAACTCTTAGAATCTTTGTAGGGAGATGGGGTGTATGAAATGTTATAGCTAAGCCACTTCAAAAGGCTATTTTAAAGGGGTGTTGATTACATGCATTTAAATGGAGTCACAAGATTTGTTCAGTGAAAGATTAAGGATCTATCAGTTTGCTAAGACTATAACTTCTCTAACTGGCAGGTCATGTGCAATGTAACACTATCTATCTCGGGGGTTGATTTTTTTAAATCAAAAAAGCATCTTTGTTTTTCTTTTAGGAAGGTGCTCATATTTTGTGTGATTCTATGGCCTCTGAATTTTTTCTCCATACTGTTTATCATGAATAAGTTCATATGTGGAAATGATTAATAAGAACCAGACATTAATGAGCATTATTGATTTTGCCTTACAAATTTTTGATTATTACAAACTAGAGGCCCAGTGCACAAAAATTTGTGCACTCGGGGGGGGGGGTGGGTGGGGTCCCTCAGTCCGGCCTGCACCCATTTGCAGTCCAGGACCCCTTGAGGGATGTCCACCTGTCGACTTGGGCCCACTCCCTGGGGAATCAGGCTTAAGCTTGCATTCAGACATCCTTCTGGCAGCCAGGGAGCCCTCAGAGGATGTCCAAATAAAGGCTTAGGCCCCCAAGGGAGCTGTGATGAGGAAGCTGGGGTGACAGAGGAGCCACGCTGCCCTGCCCAGCTGCCCCGGGTCGGGTCGCACAAGGGACGCCCGCCGCCCCAGGTTGCAGATAGCAGGCCTGGATGGCGGCAGGGCAGGCAGGATGGTGCTGTCCTGCCCCACCGCCCCGGGTGGCAAATAGCAGGCTTGGATGGTGGCGGGGCAGGTGGGATGGCACTGACCAACCCTACCTGCAGTATGCAAATTAGCCAATGGGAGGCGTAGCGAAGGTATGGTCAGTTACCATGTTTGTTTATTATTAGATAGGATAACTTCATTGGAGAGAGAGAAAAAAGTGCATCAGAAGCAGTTCTTACATCAAGCCCAAGTTGAAAATGTATATGCCCCCTAGAGAAGTGCTTCTCAGACATTGATGTGCATAGGAATCCCTGAGGAGCTTGTTAAAATGCAGATTTGCATTCAGTAGATCTGGGGTGGGACTGGAGATTCTGCACTTCTAACAACCTCCCAGGTGATGACCATGCTGCTGGCCCCTAGACCACACTTTGTGTAGTAAGTCTAGGTGGTTTTATCTATGACTATGGTTCCAAACATCACGTATGGTAATAACGCCAGGATCTCTATCTTCTGCCACTTTTAACTCCCCTGTTCCTCCCTAGCTCAGTAAATGGCACCACTCATTGCTCAAGCCAGAGACCTGTCATCCATTACCTCTCTTTCTCTTATCTAACTGACGTTCAAATCCTGTCAAGTCTACTTTCAAAACACCTCTCCTTTCAAAACAAAACAAAACAAAACAAAACAAAAAACCAAAAAAAACCTCCCAAATTCATAATCTTTTCTCAGTCTCTACTATAACATCTAATATCCTCTCCCAGGCCACCATCGTCTATCTCTTTCCTGGGCTACCAAACACTGCTGCCCTCTAGCTGGGATCCTTTCTTTTACTTTTGCCCTCCTATAGTTCCTTCTCTATACAGCCAGACCCATCTCTCTAAAATACAAACCTGTTCACGCCACTCACCTACTTAAAACTCCTAAAACCATCAGGATAAAGTCCAAATTCTGATTCCATGGTTTGCAAGGGTCTCCAATAACTACATGTTCCTTGATTATTTCTCTAGCTTTATGTCCCATCAGTCTCCCATGCCTTTATTGTACTCTAAGATCTTGCTATACCAGTGATGGCGAATCTTTTGAGCTCGGTGTGTCAGCATTTTGAAAAACCCTAACTTAACTCTGGTGCCGTGTCACATATAGAAATTTTTTGATATTTGCAACCATAGTAAAACAAAGATTAATATTTTTCATATTTATTTTATATATTTAAGTGCCATTTAACAAAGAAAAATCAACCAAAAAAGTGAGTTTGCGTGTCACCTCTGACATGTGTGTCATAGGTTCGCCATCACTGTGCTATACAGTCCTTTTTGAAGTTTTTGAATTGAGTCTTTTATCTCTGTACTTTTACAGATACTATTCACTCTGCCTGGAGCACTCTCATCTGGAAAACTCCTATTCATCCTTGTGTTTCAGCTTAAATGTCACCAGAATTTCTCCCCAAGTCACCTAAATTATGCTGACAGCCCCACCTTTGTCCTCCCACAGCTCTCTGTATTCTCCTGTCATCGTGGTACCCTTATGGCATCATAATTCACAGGTTAGTTGTCTCCTTCATTAGGATGTAAACACCATAAAGGCATGGACCATGTCTGTCTTGTCCGCTCTCCAGCATGCAGCTTAGAATCAATGGGTACTCATAAACATTTGTGAATGAATGACTAAGTAAATGAATGAATGAATGTCAGAGATTCTGTATCTCCTGGTGTCAGAATTCTTCTGGTGCTTCAGCCTCCAATAAATTTGCAAGTTTTTCCTGGGAAGGAACCTCACCAATCTTGTTTGATTTGCCACAGGCATACAGTGCAATCTTCCAGATACACTTAGGACCAACAAGTCAAATTCAGAGGCTGGTTGTGATAGTGCTCATGTTTCTGGTGAGTTAGTAGTATTGCCTGTGTAGTTGAAGGCTGTTGGTGTTTTTTTTTTTTTCTTCATACTTATAATTACACTTTTTTCTTAATATCATGCCTGTCTCTCTCAAGTGGAAGGTCAATTCCATGTGTGCTGGTGTGAAGTTTTCTACTACGTTTTAAGGTCTCCAACTTTGCTGGTCCCATCCTTAACACTTGATAAGCAGCAGCCTCAGAGACTGATTGAAAGTTTGTGGACAGGGAGATTGAATGTTTTGTGTAGCTCCCCTTGTGAAAAGTAGCAGAGTTTCACTAAGCATTGATTGCTGATGATTTTGAGACTTATTGGCAAAGAAAACCAGACTAGAATGTGGCCTTACCCTTGTTTTATAGAGGTGTGGGCTGTCCTCTTGAATGAAGGCATTGCCACTTGCTAATATTGGGAGTAAAGTCTTCCCAGGTCTTTGTTATTAATTTTAATGTGTAAACATGTCAACTACTGAGTCTCATTGGAAAATTCCATCAGCCAGTTATAAAAAGAAAAATGGGTGCTTTACATCTGGGGGAAGAAATTATTCTTATCCTACCCTTGTGACTTTCTTATTCTGCATAATTAATGGCACAGTTTTTATTTCACTGTGTTTAGTCTTCTCCTTGAGTTTGACTAACCGAAAACCCTTTAAAACTCACCCCAGAGTACCTGTGAATTAATTTATATCTTGTGTCCTAGAAACACAGGCAAAATATAGTCAAAGTTCAAAGACGTATGATGAGTTAACCTAAGTTTCAACACAATGGTTGCAGAAATCTTTATTAAATGAGCTGTAAATAAAAATTTAGATGGATTAAAGAGATTCTAAGCTAGATCCTTTTGTACATTAGGTGAATCATGCAATGTAAATAAGTAATCCATACTTGATCTGGTTTAAAATTTGCATTTTTCATATTGAATTTTTCTAAGACTGGGTATAATAATACTGATAAATATCTACACATGCCTCAATTGCCCACTCTCTAATATATACAGTTGTAAACCACTGTTGTAGATATTAGTGCTATTAACCAAATTTTTCTGGTTCTCTTTGGGCACATGATAGCATTTCACTTCCTGGCCTCTTTGGTTAGGTGGGGCCATGTGAGTTGTGAGTAGTTGCTATGGTACTGAATGTTTTTGTTGCCTCAGAATTGAAGCCCCAATCCCCATTGTGATTACATTAGGAGGTGGAGATTTTGGGAGGTAATTAGGTCATGAAGCTCTCATTAATGGAATTAGAGCTCTTATAAGAAGATATATGAAAGCATAAGAAAAAAATAAAGAATAACAGAAGAAAGAAGAAGAAGAAGAAGAAGAAGAAGAAGAAGAAGAAGAAGAAGAAGAAGAAGAAGAAGAAGGAGAGGAGGAGGAGGAGGAGGAGGAGGAGGAGGAGGAGGAGGAGGAGGAGGAGGAGGGGGAGGGGGAGGGGGAGGGGGGGGGGGAGGGGGAGGGGGAGGGGGAGGGGGAGGGGGAGGGGGAGAAGGGAAAAGCTCTCTCTCTGACATATGAGCACACAATAAGAAGGTGGCCATCTAAAAACCAGGAAGAGGGCTCTCACCAGGAACCAAATCAGCTCACACCTTGATCTTGGACTTCCTGGCTTCTAGAACTGTGAGAAATAAATGTCTGTTAAGCCACACAGTCTATAGTATTTTGTTTTAGCAGTCCAAGCTGACTAAAACAGTGGTAATGATATGTCACTTCTTGACCAGAGCACTTAGTTATCAACGGCAGACTCTCTGAAGCTCTCTTCCCATCAGGCTACGTCCATGAGTGACCATAATGAGCAGAGACTCCTGCCAACTCATGACAGATATGAAGCACGAGTAAGAAATAAATATTTGTTATTTTAAGCCACTGAGATTTGAAGGTTGTTACCATAGCCCAGTGATGGCAAACCTTTTGAGCTCAGCGTGTCAAAATTTTGAAAAACCCTAACTTAACTCTGGTGCCATGTCACATATAGAAATATTCATAATTTTTTTTTGATATTTGCAACCATAGTAAAAAAAAGGTTTATATTTTTGATATTTATTTTATATATTTAAATGCCATTTAACAAAGAAAAATCAACCAAAAATATGTATAAAATGAACAAAAACAGAAAAAACAATGTGCATTTTAGAAAAAATAATAATAAAAACAATGATAATCAAATGGTATGAAAACTAGAAATTAGTGACTTTTTTGGTGCTGAAGTTTGTCTGCTAATTCTTTGATTGCAGGTTCATACTTGGTGCACTTCAAGGCCAAGCAAGCGCCACTAACTTCATCTGTTACCTGGTTTCTTTTGTTCTTTTTGATATTATTTAATGCTGAGAACAAAGTCTCACAAAAATATGTTGATGAAAAAATTGTTAGCAAAGCCATCGCTAGATTTTTTATGTCGCTAAAAGTGTCAGGTACACTGTTCCAAGCACTCAAAATTTCTTGTTTGTAGTTGCACTCTTCTTCATTATTCAAATGATTTCGTTCCAGATTTTCAAGTTTCAACCTTAAGTCGACAAACGCATGAGTCCAAATGCTACCTTGAAAATCTGCAAGTTGCATCTCTAAATCGTCAATTTGCATCCATTGGAAATCCTTTAATTCCAAAGTACTGTAAACTACATCCGGATACTTAATTATTTTAATGGTCTGTTCTAGGCTTCTAAATTGGTCGAATCCTTTGCTGAACTGTTCAAATAACGAGTTTACTATATTCTGGTACATAAGTATGGACTCCATTACACTCGTTGTAGTGGCCTTCTCGAAATACTTTTTTATCCGAGGAAATACTTATAAGTTTTAGTTTCAATATCTCGCTTGAAATTTTTAAGTTTACTTTCAAAAGATTTGATGTATCCAAACGTAACATCAATACTTTTGCCAAAACCTTGTAATTTTAAGTTCAGTTCATTCATATGAATAGAGAGATCTGTAAAAAACATCAAATTGCTGACCCACTTATGATCATTGATCTGAGGAAAGTTTTCCAGATCCTTATTCTCAATAAAGACCGTAATTTCTTCAAAGCACTACACAAATCGCTCAAGTACTTTACCTCGACTCAGCCATCTCATATTATTGAACATCAGTAGTCCACTGTAGGTTGAATCAACTTCCTGTAAAAGTGCAGAAAATTCTCGCTTGTGAAGGGGTCAAGAAGCTATAAAATTCACAATTTTTGTTACAACTGACATTAAATCATTCAATTCTGAGAATCCCGACTTGGCACACAACACCTCCTGATGGATAATGCAATGAAAAGGTACAAGTGGATATCTAATAGCTTCCATAAACAATTTCAGGAATCCCACATTTTTTCCCACCATATTTGGTGCCCCATCTGTCGTGACTGACACAATTTTAGAGATATCAATCTTTAGGTCACTGAATGTTTTTATAACAGCCTTACATATTTCGTTTCCTGATGTACTTATTGGCACTGATTCTAACTTTATCAACTCTTCTCTCATTGTGAGACCATCAGAATATCTAGCAATAATGGCCAACCGAGCATTTGATGTGACATCAGTAGTTTCATCAAGAGAAATCGAAAAATATTTACAACTATTTAAGTCTTTTTTAAATTGATGTTGTACGTTTTTGTTAAGATCTGTTATTCTGTCTTTGATAGTATTTCTACTGAGTGGTAACTCAGAAATTCTTTTAATAATATCATCTTTATTTTTCATATCGTGAAAGAGAGCTGGTGCACATCTTAGAAATGTTTCCTTAATAAATTCTCCGTCACTGAGGGCTTTTCCATGCTGAGTTATGGAGTGAGCAATACAGTAACTTGCTGATGTTAAATTTGTAGGGCATCTTACAAATTTAATTATGGAATTTGATTGACTTTTATAGAGGTGTAGCTGCCTAGAAGTGTATTCCTTCCTTTCAGCGATACTTTATTCAAGAGCTGACAATAATTAGTTTCAAAATGTCTCTTTACATTCCACGTTCTGCTTACTACCATTTCATTGCACAGTATGCACAATGATCTGTTGTTTCTGTTGACAATCCCATACATCTCGGTCCATATGTCTTGAAAGTGTCGGCTACTGCTACTTCCACTTCCTTTATCATTCAGTCTTTTTTATTTATTTATTTTTTTAGGGCCCTGTGTATACTTGGTGTTTTCTTTTTTTAAAAAATAAATCTTTATTGCCAGCACCGGTTTGGCTCAGTGGATAGAGCGTCGGCCTGCGGACTGAGGGGTCCCGGGTTCGATTCCGGTCAGGGGCATGTACCTTGGTTGCGGGCACATCCCCAGTGGGGAGTGTGCAGGAGGCAGCTAGTCGATGTTTCTCTCTCATCGATGTTTCTAACTCTCTATCCCTCTCCCTTCCTCTCTGTAAAAAATCAATAAAATATATTAAAAAAAATAAATCTTTATTGTTCAGATTATTACAGTTGTTCCTCTTTTTTCCCCCCATAGCTCCCCTCCACCCGGTTCCCACCCCACCCTCTGCCCTTACCCCTCCCCCCACTGTCCTCCTCCATAGGTGTACGATTTTTATCCAGTCTCTTCCCACACCCTCCACATCCCTTTCCCCCCCCCCCGAGAATTGGCAGTCCACTCCCTTTCTATGCCCCTGATTCTATTATATTCACCAGTTTACTCTGTTCATCAGATTTTTTATTCACTTGATTTTTAGATTCACTTGTTGATAGATATGTATTTGTTGTTCATAATTTTTATCTTTACCTTTTTCTTCTTCTTCCTCTTCTTAAAGAATACCTTTCAGCATTTTATATAATACTGGTTTGGTGGTGATAAACTCCTTTAGCTTTTTCTTATCAGTGAAGCTCTTTATCTGACCTTCAATTCTGAATGATAGCTTTGCTGGGTAAAGTAATCTTGGTTGTAGGTTCTTGCTATTCATCACTTTGAATATTTCTTGCCACTCCCTTCTGGCCTGCATAGTTTCTGTTGAGAAATCAGCTGACAATCGTATGGGTACTCCCTTGTAGGTAACTGACTTTTTTTCTCTTGCT